GGACAGGAGGGGGGACAGGGTGGGCACAGGGTGGGTACAGGGATGTGGCACCTCCACGCGACCACCCCTGGCACCTGTGGGGACAGGAGGGGGGACAGGGTAGGCACACGGGGGACACAGGGTGGGTACAGGATTTGTACAGGATGGGCATAGGGATGTAACATCTCCACCCAGCCACCTGTGCCACCTGTGGGGACAGGAGGGGACACGAGGTGGGCACAGGGTGGGTACAGGGTTTGTACAGAGTGGGTACAGGGATGTGGCACCTCAACGCAGCCAACCCGGGCACCTGCGGGGACAGGACAGGGACAGGGTGGGCACAGGGTGGGCACAGGGATGTGGCACCTCCACACGACCACCCGTGCCACCTGCAGGGACAGGAGGGGGACACGAGGTGGGTACAGGGGCTTTACAGGGGGGACACAGGGACACACACCTGGGCACACCTGTGCTGGCACTCACAAACACCTGGGCACACCTGGGCAGGTGCTCACACACACCTGGGTACACCTGTGCCTGTACTAACACACACCTGGGCACACCTGTGCTGGCACACACCTGGGCACACCTGTGCTCACACACACCTGGGCACACCTGTGCTCACACACATCTGGGTACACCTGTGCTGGCACTCACACACACCTGGGCACACCTGTGCTCACACACAGCTGGGCACACCTGGGCAGGTGCTCACTCACACCTGGGCACATCTGAAAGGTGCTTACACACACCTGGGCACACCTGTGCTCACACACACCTGGGCACACCTGTGCCTCTACTCACACACACCTGGGCACACCTGTGCTGGCACTCACACACACCTGGGCACACCTGTGCTGGCACTCACACACACCTGGGCACACCTGTGCTGGCACTCACACACACCTGGACACACCTGTGCTGGCACTCACACACACTTGGGCACACCTGGGCGGGTGCTCACTCACACCTGGGCACACCTGGGCAGGTGCTGGGGTTGCAGGTTTGGGGTGGGGGTGTCATTGTGGGTTTATGGGGTGGGGTGAAGGTTTGGGGTGGGGGTGTCAGGGCTGGGGGTGTGGGGTACCTGGGGGCTGCAATTGTGGGTTTGGGGGTCAGGGGTGCAGGTTTGGGTGCTGGGGAGTGCAAGTTTGGGGTGAGGGTGTTGGGGCGGGGGGTAGAGGGTGGGCTGGGGGTGTGGGTTTGGGGGCGGTGGGTGCAGGTTTGGGGTGGGAGTGTCGGGGCTGGGGGTTTGGGGTGGGCTGGGGGCTGTCATTGTGGGTTTGGGGGTCAGGGGTGCAGGTTTGGGGTGGGGGTGTCAGGGCTCGGGTGTCCTTGTGGGTTTGGGGGTGGGGGGGTGCAGGTTTGGGGTGCAGGATTTAGGATGCAGCATTTGAGGTGGGATTTGGGGTGCAGGAATTGGGGTGCAGGTTTGGGGTGTGGGGTTCAGGTGCTGGGGGCTGGCTGGGGGCAGAGGTGTAGATTTGGGGTGCAGGTTTGGGGTGCAGGATTTGAGGTGCAGGTTTGGGGTGCAGGATTTGAGGTGCGGGATTTGGGGTGCAGGTTTGGGGTGCAGGATTTAGGATGCAGGATTTGGGGTGCAGGTATGAGGGTGGGATTTGGGGTGCAGAATTTGGGGTTGGGGTACAGGGGCTGCCTGGGGGATTGGGGTGCAGGTTTAGGGTGCGGGGTGGGGGGGTGTAGCTTTGGGCTGCAGGGTTTGGGGTGCAGGTTTGGGGTGCGGGTTTGGGGTGCAGGACTTGGAGTGCGGGTTTGGGGGTGCAGGATTTGGGGTGCAGCTTTGGGGTGCAGGATTTTGGGTGCAGGATTTTGGGTGCAGGTTTGGGGTGCAGGTGCCGGGGGCTGCTTGGGGGTGCCACTGTGAGTTTGAGGGGGCCAGCCCGGGCCTGTGAGGGGGCAGATTTGTGGTGCAGGATTTGGGGTGTGGGTTTGGGGTGCAGGATTTGGGGTTCCGGTGTCGGGGGCTGCTTGGTGGTGCCGCTGTGAGTTTGGGGGTGCCGGCCCGGGGCTGTGGGGGTGCAGATTTGGGGTGCAGGATTTGGGGTGCGGATGCCGCTGTGAGTTTGGGGTGCAGGATTTGGGGTGCAGGATTTGGGGTGCAGGATTTGGGGTGCAGGATTTGGGGTGCAGCTTTGGGGTGCAGGATTTGAGGGGTGGGTTTGGGGTGCAGGTGCCGGGGGCTGCTTGGTGGTGCCGCTGTGAGTTTGGGGGGTGCCAGCCCGAGGCTTTGGGGGTGCAGATTTGGGAAGGGGTGGGCGTGGTCCCGGGGGGGGGTTGTAGGGGCGTGTCCCGCCCCGCCGCCGCCGCCGGGAGAAGCGGCCGGGCCGGCCCGTCCAGCCCGACCGGCCCCGCGCCGCTCCCGCGCCCCCGCCCCCGCCGAGCCCCCCGGGGCCGCCCCGCAAAAACCCCCCCCACGATGCGACACCCCCTCCCCCCAATTACCCCCGGCCTCATTAACCCCTTCGTTAATTGCCCCTCTCGCCCCTCCGTGCCTCAGTTTCCCCCCCCGCGCGCGGGGATTCGCTCCCACACCGGGAATTGGGGGGATCCCGGGGAGGTCCCGAGGAGATCCCGGGGGGGGTTTCGCGGGGGTCCCGTGGGGGTCGCGGTGCTCGTGGCGGGGTAAAAGGGGGGTGTGTGGGGTGTGTGTGTGTGGGGGGGGTTGTTGGGGTGCCATGGGGAGGTTCCCGCCCCGGGGCGTCCCCACCCAGCGGGGCCCGAGAGAGCGCGTGGGAACCGGAGCCGGGAACCGGCTGAACCGGCTCCCGCGGCCCCCCCACGCCCCGGCACCGCGAGCACGAGGGGAGGGGGGGGGGAAAACACGGGCCAAGGGGGGTCCCAAGGGGGTCCCCGCGATCCCGGGGGGGGATCAGGAACGCGCACGGCCCGTGGAGCGAGCGGGGGGATCCGCGTTTGTGACCCCCACTGGGGGGGGGGACACGCGCGTGGGGGCGACCCCCCCACCCCCACGCACTCAGGGATGGACCGACCCCCTCCCCCCCCGTCACTTGGGGACCACCCCCTTGCACGCGCGTGTGCAAACTCCCCCCACCCCACCCCTTAAGGGGGTGCGGGTCTGACGCGCGCGGGTGGGCGCGGGGTCCCCCCCCCCTCGCAGCACGAAGCCCCTCCGTGGGGTGCGAGTCACGCGTGGGGTGTGGGGGGGTCACGGCACCCCCCAAAATAAAGCTGGTGACCCCTGAGGGGCAGGGAGGGGGGGGGGCCCAGCCCGTTCCCACGGGTCCCGTGGGGAAACCGAGGCATGGCGGGGGCGTGGGGGGGGAGGGAAGGCGGAGGAGGGGGAAGCGGGACCCCCCCTCGCTCCGTGGGTTCAATTCCCCCCCGGTTTCGCGTGGAACAGCGACCCCCAAAGCTGTTGGGGGGGGGGGACACACACAACACGCGACAGTGGGGAGGGGGCGGGGCCGCCCCGTGTCCCCGTTCCCACGGGATGTCCCTCGTGGGAAGGGGGGGTCCGCGTTCCCACGAAAGGAGGGGAGGGGGGAGGACACCCACGCGAGGCGCGGGTGCGCGCCCACGGGGTGGGCGACGTGCACGCGCGTGTGAAAGCGCCCGCGCCGCAACCCCCCCACCCCCGGGGGCACGGACCCACGGATACGCGGAGACACGCGGGGACACACGGACACGCGCGCGGGGAGACGGATGGACCCACGGACGCGCGCGGGGGGGGGCCGCAGGTGCGCGCGGGGGGGGGGGCCGCAGGTGCACACGCGGGGGCGCGCACGTACAGACACACACGAACACACGAACACACGAGCACACACACGAACACGCGTGTGCGCGCTCACGACCCCCTCACTCATGCACACGCGTGGGTCCCCCCGCTCCGGTCGCGCCGCCGCTTCTCGGTTTCGCTTCCTCGCTCCCTCCTTCCCTTCCCCATCCCGGTTTCGCTTTTCCCCCCCGCCGGGGCCCCCCCCCCCCCCCCCCCCCCAGCGTGGGAACCGGTCCCCAAAACTCCGGTGCCCGTGTGTGTGTCCCCCGTGGGAGCCGCAGCCGCCCCCTCCCCACCCGCGGTTCGTGTCCCAGCCCCCCCCCCCCCCCC